CCTGCTTGAAGGTGAAGTACTCTGTGAGGTGCCTGCACTCGTGGTTCCCTCGAAGGAGGAACAACGTTTTGGGATGGTTTATCTTTAAACTCCATAAATACAGCACACACTGCAAGAGAGGGAAGGGAGGAGATGGCATGTCATAAAAACCCTTCTCCAGGGCACTAATCAGCCAGAGACTTCACTAAGTGTTTCTGGGAAGAGTCCCAAAGTGGAACCCGGAGAGAAACCCAACTCCATACTGGGCAGTAGATCTTCTCTTGGCCAACTCCAGCGCTGGGGGGAAGCCACAAGGAGTTTCTCTATATTAGGTCTGAGTTGGAGAAGTGACAAATGAGGTTGTAGTCAAGTGAAACCAGCTCAGGGCTGGGTGGGGGAAGGTTTCCTTTCAGCACAAACCAAAGCAGAAAGGGCCTATTTGCAGAGCAGCAAAGCAAAACCAGCTGTGTGCTCCAGATGTTGCACTGAGAGAGAAACCAGTGTGGAGAGCACAGACACTGAACCACAAAACAGCCCAGAAATTCAACTTCACCTTCCCCCCACTGCCTTTTCTGCTCACATGTGATGTTCAAGTTCAAAACAGGAAAAGCTGAGCCAAAACACAAGCTGAGGAAAGCCTCCAGGCTTTGAAGGGGCTTTCCACATCCCCTCTCTGAGCTGAAACACCTGGGAAATGATCTGCTTTGATGAGGCACAGACCAAAGTCACACTGAAAGGAGTGGGTTTTTTTACCAGAAATATTTCAGGGTGGCTTCCCCAAAAGCCTAAGGGAAGGGCTGGAAAGCAACAGTGCTCACAGTGTGCTCCTCATTGTCAAGGTGACAGCTCAATCAGCTGCTATCAAGGGCTAGCACATCTCCCTGGCTGGTTTGGAGTGCTGGAAGGACAACCCAGATTGACAGCAAGCTCCAAGATCTGGATTAAAGTCTCTAATAAGAGCTTACCCTCCAGGCTGACATGGACAGAACCTGCACACGCCTGGGAAATGTGAACCATGAGGTCTGTCAACAGTTTTACACCCTCAGACATTGCTAAGCATTGCAAGAACCTGTTGGAAACAACCTCCAGAACCCAAATAAATCAGTTTCCAGTTAGCTCCCAGCACAGATCTCCAGGAACTGACTGGAAACAACCTCCAGAACCCAAATAAATCAGTTTCCAGTTAGCTCCCAGCACAGATCTCCAGGAGCCTGTTGGAAACAATGTCCAGGAATGGAAACAACCTCCAGAACCCAAATAAATCAGTTTCCAGTTAGCTCCCAGCACAGATCTCCAGGAACTGACTGGAAACAACCTCCAGAACCCAAATAAACCACTTTCCAGTTAACTCCCAACACAGATCTCCAGAACCCAAGTAAATCACTTTGCAGTTAGCTCCCAGCACAGATCTCCAGGAACCTGCAGGAAACAACCCGGAAACAACCTCCAGAACCCAAATAAATCAGTTTCCAGTTAGCTCCCAGCACAGATCTCCAGGAACTGACTGGAAACAACCTCCAGAACCCAAATAAACCACTTTCCAGTTAACTCCCAACACAGATCTCCAGAACCCAAGTAAATCACTTTGCAGTTAGCTCCCAGCACAGATCTCCAGGAACCTGCAGGAAACAACCCCCAGAGCCCAAATAAACCACTTTCCAGCACAGACACCTTAGCCATGCTGGTGGTTTGAGCACTGAACCTGCATGGGAAGCTCTACATGAGTCACTCCAGCTGATCCCAAACCTCAAGGAGCTGTAAAGCACCAGCCTGTGTCTAACTTGGAATTCAAACCCACATTAAAAACTTGATTAATTCTCAATTCTCAGAGTGACCAAGGCCAAGGCCAGTAGCAGAATATGTTTTATTGCCTCTGTTACCAGGAGAAATACTCCCAACAAACCCATTCCTAATTATTCTGGGATTTAAAGCTTTAACCTCCTGTGTTTGCAGCTAAATGTCACTTTTCTGGGCTGGCAGGAGAACTGGAAAGTGAAAGCTGCTATAAATGAACCCAATGAGTTGCTAAGGACTTGAAGAAAGAACCAGCCCTGGCAGCAAAGCCAAGCAGAGACACAGCACCAGGAGAGAGGAGGATTTGGGATGTATGGATGGCTGGCAACTTGCAGGAAAGAGAGTGAAAAGCACATTTGAAGAGGTTTAAAGGGAAATGGGATTGAATTGGACACCACAATTCATCCTGGACACACACAGAGCAAAGCACAGACACATTCCCTGTGGCTATAGCCACTTCCCAAGGATCTGAGGGCTGCCAGGTACCATAGGAGTAAAGGACACTCAACAGCCCTCGAGGGCTCCAGAGGGGCTGGAATGAGGAATGAGGGAGGTTTCACATTTGCATGCCTCAAATACTTCCTGGTGTTTTGCAGGGATCCCTTTCCCAGACTTCCAGAGCTCTGTGCCCAGGAACTGATTACTCCTGTTGCCAATGGCCCAGAAGCAGCTCCAACACTTTGGGCTTTTGGGCTTAAATAATCTTAATTAATCTCCTTCTCCTGCCCCTGGGTGTAAAGCCCAAAGCCAAGGGGTTGATCCCTCCCTTCCACTGGGAAAGGGAAAGCTCAGCAGGCCATGGAGAAGGAATCCCTAGAGGAATTGCAACCTACAACCCAACAAATTCCAGAGGGGCTGGTGCCAAACCTGCCCACAAGCCACAATCTTTCTCACCATTCCCAAGGCCTGGAATTTATAAGGAAGTTATACACATGGAGCCTGTGAGCTCTTCCCAGAGTGGGAACAGAGGGAAAACTGCCCCCTCCAGCCCACAGCTCACACCTCACAGCACTGACTGGATCTCTTTACATTATTCCAGATAAAAAGTGCATTAAATCAAGATTCTCCCACCTATAATTCCGTAATTAGACAGCAATTAGGTATCCCATTGGAACTAGATTGAAAAATCCAGTCTGGCATTATCCCTCCATTTTTCCTGACAAATCTCTTTCCATAGATTTTATTTCAGGTCCTGATAATTGTTTTACTTGATAACATTATTCTATTCCTTGTTTTCCAGCTTCATGGCTCAGGATGGCCCCTGCCCACTCCAGGCACAGACCTCTCCTGGGGCAGGGCTGGAGATGGAAGCAAAGCTTCATGAAAGAAGCTTTAGAGACTGTGGGAGAATCCTCCAGCAGGACACTGCCTCCTCAGCATCTCCAAATGCAGGAGTTCATCCCAATTTCCATGCTTCCCTCTGAGCTGGGGACTGTGACCACTTAGTTTCGCTGTCACAGAAGGTTTGTGACAGCCAACACTTCCCAGAGTGCCATTCCATCAGCATTTCAGCTTTCACGGGGCTGTTTCCCTCCTCTCTCCCCCCACAAATCCTTTCTTTAACAAAACCCAACCATCCCCCGCAATCCTTGGCCTCATTATCCTGGGAATGAAGGTTCTGAAAGGAGAATTTCCCTAAGCCAGAGGCCCATGGTGCATAATTTGTTGCAGGCATCCAGCTGAGCTATCAACAGAGGCTTTGGGGAGGGGGGGGAGAGGGTTTAAAGGTTTTGTTTGAGCCAAAAATTCCTCTTTTTACCTGGACAACCAAACTGCATCCACAGGGAATGCCTGGGAGGGTTGTTTGAGCCCTTACACCGCCTTGGCCTCCACTTCTGCATGTTTCCTGCCTGCATCAGGATGCAATTAAACCATTCCCTCCTATTTTGTTCCATTAAAAGGATATTATAGAATCATGGAATATCCTGAGTTGGAAGGAACTCACAGGGATCAGCGAGTCCAACCCCTGGCTCTGCACAGGACACCCCCAGCTGCTCTGGGCAGGCACTGGATCATGTCCCCACCCATGGATGCACAAGTTTGTGTGGTGACTCATGATGCTGCTGCTGCTCTCCACATTCCCACTGGCCAAAGCCCAGGGAAACCTGGATGCTTTTCCATCTCCTGAACCTCTGGGATACTCCCAACCTGCTCAGAAACCAGTTTCTGCCCATCCAGGTGGGCATGTCTTTCAGCACAGGGCAGTAGGTGGAAGGCAGAGACACACATCAATAGGAAGAGGAGAATCAAACCCTCTGGATTGTGTTTGTCAGTGCCATTCGGAGCAGCTCCCACACATACTCATCAAAGCCCACCCTGAGT